ACCGAGAGTTGATCTGTAAAAAGGGAAGCTCTCACCGGAAGCCCAAAGACAACCAGGCTGCACAGCAAGCCTCTCCATGTGCTCACACATGGCTTGGGGTGCGCGGCTTCTGGGCTCAGACCCCAGAGCCAGGGACCTGGGGCTCTCGCAGCCAGCCAGGAATCTGCCTCGGGCCCCCCCCCACATGAGAACCAGAGCCCAGTGCAAAATCTAAGCCACAGACATGGAGCAGCGTGGCATTCAACAACCCCCCCGCCCGCACCAGCTTGGGGTAGAGGGACATGCAGAAAGGTGTCTGAAGGCTGTACAGAAGATGTGTCATGCAGGCGAGGCACGGAGGTGCTAGAGAGCTAAAGGTTAGTGAAATGTGCATTTAGGAGGACTAAGGATGAGCTGTACTTACAATGTTTTTGTAAATCAAATAACATCTAAATAAAGATTATAAAATATCAAGGTATATTTTAAATCTCATGACAGAAGCTTCTTTTTCTTCTTTTCTTACATTTTTACATTTAGTGGCTCTGTCGAAAGTTGGAGATTAATATTCTAAATGCTGGGAGAAGCCAGCAGCTTGTTCCAGTCTCTGACTCAGTTAAGCTCTTACAATATTTTGACTGTTTGAAGAAAATTAATAATGGGATGTTAGGCGGTAGATGAACTGAAACTAAATATCAACATAGCGAGATTTATTTTTGGATGACTGAGCTCATCTCTGCAAAGAACAGGAGCAGGATTCATTATATGGTGAGTTATTAGCTTACACAACACCAGGATGGCCCCAAGTGGAGCAGAGCACACGGCACAGACCAAGATTATGTAAGAGGCTCAACACTGAGCTGTCCTGTTAGCCAGGCTTTGGGGTGTGCAGGCCACAGCTGACTATCCACGGTTCACCAAGAGGCCGGAAGGTAAGCCAATGTGTCCTGTGGGCTTCAGGGTCAAACTAGCTACCGATGCTGGCCCTGCCCCTGCCAAGCAGCCGAGCGCAGAGTCCCTCTCTGGCCAGCAGGGCAGGTGCCGAGCACCTGTGAGAGCCTATCCTCTTCCCCTTCCTGCTATCTCATTACCAAAGTGTCCACATCCTGTAGGACCCTGAGGTGAAGAGGACTGGAACTTATGCTGCTGGGCCAAACAGTGCCCTGGGCTGGGAGGTGACCTCCTCTAATAGTGCTTCCTGGCCAACAGGGAGAGCCAAACTGACCTCAGCTCCTGACACTTGAAAGTGTCCATTTTCCCTGCTTGCCTCACCCTTTCTGCACCACCGAGACTGCTGGAGATGGCTTGGGCCTTCCAGCTACAGACTATAGCCATGGGATGTGCAGCCATGGGATATGTCCTCCCTGGTGAGGGAGGACACCAACACCACCTCTGTCCACGGGCTGACTGGAGTTACAGCTCCTTGCTGTTTTCCATGCAGACAGATGCATGAGCAATTTGAGAGCCTCCCTATCTTTATTCAGCAAAGTCAAAGAGATGTATAATAGCAAAAAGACCTGTGGAATATGCTGCTGAGGAACAAGGCTCCTACCAGGAGCCACTTCTGGGCCCCTGAGTCAGGGCCATGCTGTCCTATTTCATAACGCAGGTGACTCCTAGGAAAAAGCTGCCCACACTGCCCCCTCTGCCCTGCCTGAGCCCAGGCAAGGGCCCACATGCTTAGACTGAGGCTTAAGACAGGAGGACTGCAAATTCAAGTCCAGCCTAGTGAGACCCTTTCTCAACACAAAACATGCTTCAAAAGGGTGCGGGCCATAGCTCTGGGTTCAAATCCCAAGGCTACAACCAATGAATGAACCAACAAAAGTACCCCGGGCTCTAGCGTGTGTATGTTGTGTGGGAACCCTAATGACATTATTTAAAACACAAACCTGGAAAGAACTCCAACATACCTCGACAAGAGAAAGAATAAAGCAGGGTCCAAAGTGGCTATTAGGCAGCGATGAGGATGATCAGGCTGACATACACACCCACCAGAGATGCAGTACACACAGTGGGTGCAGACTCGGCCCCTTAAGGATGTGTGCACAGGAGGCAAACTGCATTTCGAGAGGGGGACAGGAGGTGGCCCTAGGTTGGAGGCGACCTCACCTGAAGAGGCAGGGACTTCGGAGAGGCACACACCAGTTCTCCCATGCTTCTCAAGTCTCATGGGTCTAATCTGTGCTTCCTAATTGACACACACACTACATAGATTCCTTTGTATCACTCAAGTGACATAAAAACATTAAAAAAAAAAAAAAAAAAGCCCAAGCCTGCAGCCCTGCAGTGCAAATCTCTCGGGCCACCTCATGAGCTTGCTTGTGTCCTGTGGTGTGGGGTGGGCTGAGCCCCAGCTGCAGGAGGCAGAGGAGCAAGGCCTGCTTTCTCCCTGTCAGATGGGACAGCCAAGGCTACTACCTGAGGGCCACCAGGAGAACCATGCAAGACAAATGTGCCCTTGACCTATCACCGCATTCGGATGGTTGCTCTCTCTTGCCCTCCATTCAAAGGCCTTGATGACATCATTCGGGCCCCAGGGACCCAAACGGACACTGTCGGGTTCCATGTCTATTGCTGTCCTGGTTTCCACCCCCATGGCAGAGCACCTAGCATTATGAAACCACAACACAACAACAAACCAGCCTTTTTCTTGCTTCTGTGAATTAGGCTAGGTTTCTACAGGCTGCACGGAAGGAAAGAAAGACTTCTGGGGGAAAGGTCATCCTTTTCATAAAGCACAAGCTCATGCTTCTTCAGCCGGGAGGGAAGAGAGATGGGGACCGTGGCGGACCCAGCCCTGCTCCAGCACCTCCAAGTGGCTAAGCAGCCTCTTGCTCCAGTGTCTCATGTGGCCCAGGCCTTCTAGAATACACCGTGTTCCAGATTCATCTGCAGAAACACTTTCAACCTTGCCCACACCTCCTGCCCTGTCGCCCTATCCATGGGCCAGGTGCCCACTGAGGTCTGGGCACGGGGACCAGCAGAGGTGGTGGGGAGGTGGCAGCTGTGAGACCTGATGTCCCTCCAAGGTGAGGGTGCCCTTCCGCCCCCCTCACAGCACCTGGAGTGGCAGTAGCAACCTAATGAACACCACTTTCAAGAGCAGAAGCCACATAAAGTAATTATCTTCCAGTGTGACTCCCCAGCTGACTGTGTGATTCCAATAGAATCATCCCCTTCTAGTCCTATAAATAGGCACCGCTGGCTGTTTGCATGCCCGAGCTGCTGAAGATAGGCAGGCACCAGCCAGCAATCGCACACAGACCTGAATAAGCCTCAGCGCGGCAGGAGCACAAGCGCAAAGTGGGTTCTCCCCTGAACAGCGCCCGCTCCCTCAGCAGCCGATTGAACAGAGCTCCGAGGGAAAGAGCGGGCTGTCAGGTGCCGGGAACTGGACGCTTGCTCTCTCAGGTGGAAGGAACGCTAATGTCCCTGGCTTGTTTGCTTACCATCCCTCTCACTCAGCTCACTCCCTTCAACGCCAGGTTCCCGCCTTCCCTTCACCGGGAAATCGAGGCCCAATGACCCAGAAATAATCTGAACAAACCTATTTCACTGCAGACGTTTTCATTTTTATCTTCATTAACTCTCTTATCCCTATCAAGTCTGCTGAAAGCATGATTTATGCTTTGCCTGTGGGGTCTGGAGAACGTTAACACGTAGACAGTTTGCACGTTTAACGGAAGCAGAGGACACTGCATGTTTTGTAGACAGACACCTTTCTCAGAAAGAGAACTGCTTTCGTTTCCTACCAGAAGGACACTATGTCAGTGTCTTCTCTGTACGTCAGCTGAAAGAATTTCATAGGAAAGTGGCGCATTCCCAGCTGACCCTCCCCAGGGCTTTCCTCACGAGTGAGGGACGGCATACTTAGTGAGCTCCCCCTCCCCGGAGGAGACCCACGCATGCACACACACCAGCCCATGCTGCCAGGACCAACAGCTCCAGAGAAAGGTGGCCCACCTGGGTGGCCGGGTATTTGTAAGGATTTGCACAAGTGAAACAGTAAAATAGGGGGCGTGGACACCAGCTCCGAGGCAGCAGCACTGATGAGAAGGGGTGATTGAAATACATGTTTAAATTTTAAAAAGTTTTTACAGTAAAATGTATACCGCCATCAATCCCCTTCAAAACCCACCCCTTGCTTCAGACACACTTACTCTACTGTTCTTGAAGTCTTCTTCATGTATGATCAAAAACAAGGTGAATGCCACTGCCCAGTGTCATCCAGGAAAACCAGGCTCACAGCGACAAGATGCTGTGTCCTGTGGCACTGTGTGACTCCTGGCTCTCCCCAAAGCCAAGCGACCATGAAAGGGAAATGTCATGAAGGAATTCAGGACATTGAGACACTCATGAAAGATGATTTCCAGAGCAACATCAGGAAGCGCCCAGAGTGACGGGCTCAGTGTGCTCAAAGTGACTGGGGCTGCTGAGAGGCACTCACCGCAGCATGCCTTTGCTGTAATATATGCTGGCATTTCCAGTCTACTGTATTTATAAAACATACTGTGTTTGGTGAATTCACAAAAACACAAACACTGGTAAAGAGCTCGGAAGGCCACGGTGCTCAGACAAAGTTCAAGCATCGAGAACAAACCAGAGGTCACGGGTGACTGGGAACACTTCCCTCCTTTATGTGCCGTTCCGATAACTGACTCCCGAGGAAGCCGGTGCTGTTTCAGGGGAGCGGTATCTTTAGCTGGACCCAAAGCTCAGCCTTATTTGTGTCCAATGCATCCCTTTGGAAAATACGAAACAGACTCACTGTGCCTTATTGGCGGGGGGTGACACTGTTTCTCCTCCCTGATTAACTCCTGAGAGTTAACCTGCAATTTTGTTCAAAACCAAGGTTTCAAAGCAGAGAATTTTTAACCCATTGAACACCTTGCAAGGAAAATATGCTATTTGCTATCATATTGGGGTTTAATCTCCAACTGACAGGTCCCGACACACAGGCCAGGTACCTAGGAAGATAGTGTGTCTCCAACCAGCCCCACCAACAGCCTCGGAGGTCTTACCAGAAGCATCGCCGATGTCCCGTTGGGCCTGGAGAGGTGGATGGACATCTCAGGGAACATCCGGTCGATGCGGCTGATCACGTCATCCACATACCTGGTTGGGAAAAGCAACAAAGGCATGACCAGGACCCAGCTGAGGCTTCGCCCTGGTCTAACAGTGTTACATGGCTTCTGATGAAAAACCACACCCCTTTCTTCCTCCCCTGGCCTTCTTAGAGTTGACTGCTTTCCAGTGATTTCTTACGAGCTTCCGTACCCTAGATGAAGTGTTCTGAACGTTACCTCCTAACTCTCTGTTTTAACCACTATCTACTTTCGCCTATAGGAGACCAGAACACAGCTGTGTGATGCCCTCCTTGCCCCTGTGGCTTCCGGACTCCCCTCTGGCGGCATCAGTCCCTGAGTAAACAATTCCCTGGGATAAATTCCTTCTGTCTTAAAAACCTGAAGTCATTCCTGCTTTACGAGCTGATTCTAATTCAAACTATAGTATATCACAACTTTTGCTTAAATCAGTGCTCTGTTTAGCTTGCACAATCTCTGCTTTAAGTTTTAAAAGCAGAAACACACCGGAGCTCACTGACATTAGCATGTATTAAAGACGCAAAGATTGAAGCGCTCTTCTTCGTGGCTCTCCACATGCCGGTGGTCCTGCAGATGCACGCCCTCCTAGCGAGGTGAAGCTGCTTTCGTCGTAGGGGGCCCACTGTGAGCTGCTAGCCTCACAGCGTGAACACGCTTGGGTCTGGCTCAGGTTCCAGGAGAATGAGATCACACTGCATTTGTGGTCACTGTCCAGTCACACTGGACACAAAGGAGATGGAGAATAGCTGAGACGCAAAACCATCTATTAAGGGCTTTGCATTAGACTTTGTATTCATTGGATATGACAAATTATATTACACATCCATTAAACCAGGGAGGCATAATAGCTATTCTCTCCAGGGGAAGGAACAGATAAGCTCTTCATTTACAACATGAAAAGATTTCACTCCAAAACCCACGGTTCATAAGAGACAGCAGACAACATAATGCCATTTATCAAAAAGTGAACACCAACATATCCACTATGAAAGCCAGAAAATAACCCTGCAGACCAACCCCTCAGGTTTTCCTCAGCCAGTGATAAGTGCGGTTTTAAAACTCCTGCTGAAGAGGAAAGTGAACAACTCCAAAGGCCTGGTGGTGACAGGGAGGGGGCAGAGGGGAGCAGAGGTCCTGAGTCTTGCTTGCTCTGGGCGGCGGGGAGGGGGAGACCGACACTCCCAGGCTGCAGCATGACTTCCGTGGATCAGCCCGGTGCCAGCGGCTGGCTTCCCTCTCTTGAAAGGACCACAACAGGCAGAGCAGGCATCAAAAGAAGAACCTGCTTAGGAAGAACAAGAGGTGCTCCTAAAGGCCAGGCCTTGCTCTGCAGGCTCGGTACTGGTCTAGAACACAATTGTCCTCAGGCTGCTAGGAAACAGACTGAGACCCCACACGTCACCGCGGGTGGCCTCCCAAGTATCGTGTCCCAAGCTGCCACACTACCACTGAGTGGACAGCTGGAAGATGAAGGGACCAGCTCATCGTTAGCACCAGGGATGTCTACTAAACTGCGTGTCGCGTGTTTACACCAGGCCACTGAAACATGAAACACTTCTCCATCTATAAATGTCTTTTCCAACTCTGCATGTGCTTTACACCTAGTTTCTTCCAACTCAGCAGGAAGCAAAAATCCACTGTCAGGGAATGGAGGTCACTGCTAACATATGCTAATGAGGGGGCAGGCGAGTATTTCGAACTGATCCTTAATCAATAGCCTGCATACCTCTGGATGGATGGCAGAAAGCGAATGAATATGCAGCCCTGTGGTGCGCAGTAACATGAGTTGCCCTCCCCGGAACCTTTCACCCTGAAGCCTTGCAAACACTCCAGAAGACTGGTCTCTTAGGCAGGCTAGGGAAACAGGTCACATGACAGCCAGCGGCCAAGCTCGGGGTGCAGCTTTCCAGAATTCCAGCAGCTCCCCAACTGGGGCCAGCACCTAAGTGGCATGGAACAAAGGTTCCTAGCCATCCCTAGATTCCTTAGTTCTCAGACCTTTATTCAAAAGCCAAGGCAGTGCCAGAAGAAAAAGCGCCTAGGAAAGGTGCGTGCAGCTGCCAGAGAAAGGTGGGGTGGACCTTTTGTTGCTGTTGCTTCCCCAAGCAGTGATCTTAGACAAGGCCTAGCAGACTCAAGCACATTTTCAGATGACTTTTCATCCATGTGTCTAACATAAAGGCGATACAAATTTCTTTGTTACAGGTGACATTAGGTGTTCGCCAAAAAGAGAAGGAGAAAACAGCAGCCGCAGCTTTAGCAGAAGAAAACAGTGTCTGGATTCAAGAAGCAAAAATCAAAACACTTCATTTTTAAACAGATTCAGCCATGGAGACAGAAGCCAGCCCAAGGGGCTTGACAGAAATGAGGGAGGCTTGGAACCCAAACCCACAGTCTGGAGGCAGAAGGGGCCTTGCTTTGTGCAGGGTGGTGTGGGGGCGGGGTCTCTGGCAGCAGCCTGGGCCAAGGCCTGTGGGCATGGAGCTCACAGCTCTGGAGCAGTGTTGAGGACAGGTAGGAACGGCGTGCTCCCCTCCCACACTGCCACCATATGCCACACTCTGCTCGTTCGGCAGTGGAATCAAATCACTTTAATTTTTACCTTTGGAAGATAGGCAAACAAGCAGTCACACAGCAGCAGTGACTAGTTTACACTTGAGCAGACGCGGCGCAGAAAGACATTAATTTGGTGCCAAATTGAGCAGTGAGTCACAATTTGCACATATCTGTCAACCTGTTAACAGGGTAATAACTTGGAAAGATTGCTGCTCCTATTTACATCACAGGAGCTTTTTGAGATTGGAGAGCCATTCGGTTCTCCTTCCCGAAGCACGGGGCCTGTGAGCCGCCTGATGGCCCAGGAGCCAGGTGGAGATGCAGACTCCCAGAAACCACAGGCTCAGGCCGAGGCGAGCCACGGATGTCAGCGTCTGCAGGCAGAACCTGACTGCAGGCAGCAGGGGCCCTTCACCCTGCCCCCATAATGGCCAGATGTGCAGTTTCTGACCCCATCTCCTCCTGGCCAAACCAGCCAGCTCTCTAGGAGCTCTAACAGCCTCTTGGCACTGCATTTGTGTCTCCACAAGCATGGTTTTTCTGCTTCATGAGAAACAGTGACATCATCCTCAGATTCAAACATTAATTTCCAGAGCCTATGCGTTTTTTCTTTCTGATATTCTTCAAGAAGCTCAGCTTGCTCCTTTACATGGCTTGTTCGTTTTTGTTTTGTTTTTGGGTTTTTGAGACAGGATCTTGCTGTATAATCCAGGCTGCCCTTAAACTTACCCACAGCCCAGGCCTCGAACTTGAGGCAATCCTCCTGCCTCAGCCTCCTAAGCACTGGGATTACAGGTGTACATCACCAAGCCTGGCCTTTGTGTGGTCTTGATGAAAGAATGAAACAACATCAGGGCCTCACAGGTCCCTTGCTCAAGACCCCTGTCAGTCTAGGACTTGGCAGCAGCTCCAGAGGCAAGCTGTGTTGCGTCCCCATAATGTCACCCAACAAGGAGCCCCTGTCCTGCTGGGGCTTGGTGGTTTCTGAGCCACTTGCCAGCATCCCCTCCACCACCGCTCTCCCTTCACGCAGCCCGGTGCACTGACACACACACATTCCCTCCAAAATCCAAGGCTTTGAGCGATTGCGTGGAAGACCAGAGTTTTCCAGTCCATTTCAGCAGTGGTTTCGACTTTGTTTTAGGTCACAGATCCCATGGAGAAGGTACTGAAAACTAGAATGCGTGCCTGCACAGTACTTTATGCACACTTTTCTTCAGTGCAGGTCCTTGAAGCTAAGCACCCTGAGCAGACCCTTTTCAGAACGGAGGTCTCTGGTAAGTGTTTCTGCAGTGCAGCTACTCTTGATCAGTGATGAGGTCCCCAAGGCTAGCCTAGATGGCAACGCACAGCAAGTGCTAGAGAGGAACAGTGTGGGGCCACTCCACTCCGCCAGCTCTGCGAGGCAGCAGGTTAGTTTTTATTTGTTTTTACTTAACAAATAAGAATTACATGTATTACGTACCACGTGTGTTTTGAAATAGCACGCATAAGTGGTGGGATGCCTGAATCAGCTAATTAGCACATGCAGTGCCTCATACACATTTTTGCCTGTGGTGAGAACAACTAAACCCTACCTCAGTGCTGTCTCCAAGAAAACACTGCTCCCAACTGTATCCAACGGTTTCTTCCTTCGGCTTATTCTTCCCAACTGAAACTATCTTTCAGCCAGATACTCGCTCACTCCCCCTCTCCCAGCTTGCAGAGGGTGTTTTACTGTTTCCATGAGCTCTACTTTTCCAGACCACATATGAAGTGAGACCATGCGTCCTGTGTTCCTGTGACTAGCTTTCTTCACGTAACACAGTGACCTCCTGCATCAGCCGTGCTGCCAATGACAGGATTTCCTTTTGTTTTAAAAAGGCTGAACAGCATGTGTACGGATTTTCTTTATTGGCTGATTCTGTATTGTGACTACTTCCAACAATGCTAATGCATACAGAGGTGCCATATTTCTCTAGCAGCATTTACTCCCTGCGCTGCACATCCAGCAGTGAACCCCAACTTACACGGTGCTTCTGTTAGGAATTTCGGGGGCGCCTCCGGCTGCTTTCCACGATGGCTGCACTAACTTACCTTCCTGTCATCTGTCTTACACTATAGCCAACTTGATGCTGACGGTAACTACTCCTTCCCCCAAAGTGACTCCCTCCCTCAGGGATCACGTGACTATAGGTGAGCAGATCAGATTCTTGAGCCTTCTAAAGCTGCTCCCTTGGACACAGAAAGAAAGAACCCCCACTTTCTGCACCACGACTGAAGCACAACTCTGAATCAGAGCCTCTGGTTATCAGCCAAACTGCTTCATTCCTGGGCTCACCCCAGCCCTACTTATCGCCTCATGCCGGGTTTTAGCTAAACAACAGCCCCCCCCCCCCCATCAATGTTCCCACTTTGTATGATCCTTTTTTTTTTTTGGTACCAGAGATTGAACTCAGGACCTCATGCCTGGTT